TTGAGTAGCCTGCTCCAGGACATTCAAAGGCGGGTGGCTAGGGAAAAAGAAACAAGCATGTGAGTGAAGTTGTCTTTTTCATTGAAAACAAAAGGAACTAACTCCTAAACTGAATTGCAAAGCAATAAATACAGTATAATAGGCACCGCAGTTGCACGGCAGTTGCACGGCAGTTGCACGGCAGTTGCACGGCAGTTGCACGGCAGTTGCACGGCATGCCAAACTGCTTAAAAACAGCATGTCTCACCTGTTCAGATTGTACTTGTTCAGCTTCTCTGAAACTTCCCGTAACCTTAAAACACAAAAGCCAAGTATTAATAAACCCGGAACTGGTCCTGCATAAGCAATATGGGCTCTGTCGGACACACACCAGTCCTGGGCTGATCCCCACAGACACACACAGAGCAACCACAAGGAGGCGCTGTCAAGTCCTCTCCCTTTCTAACCCAACAGCAAATCCAGTATAAACCACGCTCCAGTTTGTGTAACAAACACCAGCAGCAAAACTGCTTCCTGGCTAAATGCCAATGGAAAACTCAGTTTTAAAACTTCAGTTTAGCCAGTTGGTAATGGTGCACGGCACTAATCCCAGCACTCGGGAGGCAGAGGCAGGCAGATCTCTGTGAGTTTAGGCCAGCCTGGTTGGTCTCCACAATGAGTTTGAGGACAGCCAGAGAACTACATGGTGAGACCTTGCTGGGGTGGGTTTGGGAGGAGGGTTCAACTTTTATCTGTATCAAAGTTTATGAAAGCACATGACTGTCATGAAATGACAGTAACCGGGAAGTGTGAACTTGAGAATTAACCTATGGAGTCTTGCCGGAGCCTAGCAACCACCTAAGGGACAGTCTGGGTTCCTGCTGCAGGACATGAAGCTGAATGGAACCTGGGTGTCAAGGACAGCACCTCCATTCACACAGGAAAGCTGCTAAACGTGCTTAGAGAAAGAACTCTGGGGTTAGGGGTACAGAGACAGATGGCACCCAGCTAAATAGAGGAGAAACCAGGAGCCCAGGTTCAATAAGAGACCAAGTCTCAAAAAATATGGAGAGTGACGCACTCCTGTAATCCCAGCACTTGGGAGGCAGAAGCAGAGGCAGGAGGATCTGTGAATTTGAGGACTGACTGGTCTACATAGTGAGCTCCAGGACAGCCAGGGCTACATAGACTGACTCTCTCTCTCTCTCTCTCTCGCTCTCTCTCTCTCTCTCTCTCGCTCTCTCTCTCTCTCTCTCTCGCTCTCTCTCTCTCTCTCTCTCGCTCTCTCTCTCTCTCTCTCTCGCTCTCTCTCTCTCTCTCTCTCAAGGCAGCCCATGCCAACCTCTGGTATACATATGGATGCACAATCCCAAAAAGAACTCTCACGGTGCTAAAGAGCTAAAGAAAGAGATAATAACTTGTGCTGTCCATCATAATTTTTCTGTTTCCCTCAAGGACACAGTCTGGAATTATAACAAAATTTATCAGCCTAAAGAAGTAATCTTATTATCATGTACAATATAACCAAGCAGATGTTCAAGAATTCATTTCTTCAATTGTTAAACAACTGTTTGATCTTTTAAAACTTGAGAAAAAAAAAAAAAAAAAAAACTTTGGAAATGGCTGCAGAAAA